GTGACTGTCTCAAAATGGAAAGTTAAAGGGTTGGGAATGTAGCTCAGTTTGAAGGCTCAAGGATCAGTTCCTATTACTACAAAAAAAAGAAAGAAAGGAGTAAGATCCAAACAGGTGAGTACAATACCACAAATTATCTCTCATGTCATGAGTTTACTGAGAGCTGTTACTACCTCATAGGAACCAGCCATCCAGGAAAGGATGGGCAAGAGAAATAGAGGTGGTTGTCATACTGGAGGACGAGTGCATGAGAAATAGGAAGTAAGCAGTTTTTGAGACCCAGCCCTAGTGCCATGTGTGTACTGCATTTTCTGGCACATGGACGCACTCTTGCCCACTTTCTCATATCGTCAAATCCCTAGGGCTGGGAGGATAGCTCAGTAGAATAAGCGCTTGCCTGCAAGCATAAGGTCCCAAGTTCAATCCCCGGTACCCCCCCCCAAAAAAAAAAAGATTGGGTTCATCAAATCCCTAGACCCCAGCTCTACTCAAGCAGGCTTTCACCTTGTTATGTTCTTTTGTGTGCTTCCCTCTGCTAGATGATGTGTTCTTGAAGGCATGAACTGTGTCTTTATTTTTGTATCTTTATTTTTTTGCCTTTTATTTTCTCACATAAGAGGCACATAGAATAAGACTTTCTTGAGAAGTATTTTCTAATAGTAATCTGAAACAAAGGTTGGGTAATATTTTAAAACTTCTGTAAGTGTGCAGTATGCATTGCTAGTCCTGAAGTTCATTGATGTTTTTGTGTTCCACAGCTAGTGAAGAGAAATTAGAATTTTCAAGGAAAGGACAGTTTATTATAGGAGATTTATATTTCATGAATGTGTTTCTTTTTAGTTAATGAAAATAGTTTTTTCAGACACTGGAAAGGACAGAACTTGAACCTGTTGACAGTACCTGTACTATTCACTGTGAAAAATCGGAAAACATGTTCCGCACTCTAGAAGTCCACCTGCACTTCTAGTCTAGTGCGTAGGCTCTGGGCTTAGCAGTCAGACTTAATAGTTTGACTGATTTGGACATTTCATAGGCCTTGACAAATATGTGATTATGGTATTCATTAAATTTTAGCTGCCGGATTGTATTACAGTGACTTTTCTCTAAAGGACTACTGTGGTTAATGATCTGTCTACATTTCCATTATAGCCATCATTATGGAAGAATTATAATTTTGCTGTTTCAGCTATCCCCATTTGAAAGCTGGCAGATGGCTCCAAGCATAGAATTAGGTTCAAAATGTGTATTAGATGAATATTAAATAGAATGGCCTTAAATTTTTCCATTTGTATGTTTTAAAACTGACTGGGCATCTTTCCACACTCTGTTCCCAAGATCCTGGATCATAATCGCATTTGTTCTTACTTGGCAGTGAGTAGAACTTCAGTCATCCTTTCAGTTTCAGAGTATTGTATGTCCTTATGTTCAAGGGCCGGCGAGATAGCTCAGTGGACTAAGCGCCTGCTTAGGCAAGCTCAGGGACTGGGATTTGATACCTGGTACCACATGTGGTACCAGCCCTGCCGCCAGGTACACTGAGCCAGCTGCCGAGACTGAACGTGGTGGCGCAGGCCTATAATCTCAGCCCTGGGGAGGCTGAAAACAGGAGGGTCACTAGGAGTCCAAGCTGCGTAGTGAGACCCTGTACCAGATACATAATTTTTTTTTTTTAAATTAGAAATATATCCCTGTGTTTAGTAGCATTTCACTTTGTACATAGCCTTCTATAGAAAACGTACTTCAGCAAGGTCCTTCAGAGCACAAGCTTGGTAACTGACATAGTTGTAGAAATAGGTTTTCCTGGCCTACTGAAATTAGGATCATCTTTTACAATGTTTGAGAATATAAATATTCGGTCTATACTAGGAATTTTCTAGCTTAAAAATGACATGTAGTGAATTTTTTCACGGTTTAAATCAAGAAGTCATGGTAGCACGTGCCTATGAACCTGGCACTGGGGAGGCTAAGGCAGGAAGGAGGATCACAAATTTGAGCCTAACTGAGGAACTTAGTGACTTGTAAGACCCTGTCTCAAAATAAATTGTATTTCAGTTCTTACAGAAAGTGCACTGATTTTTTTTAATTGAGTGCTTAAAACTTTTTTTTATTGATTTTTTTTCCTCTTGAATTTCTTATAAATTTTGTTCCTTTTTTTTTTTTTTTTAAATGAATCTTATATGATTAGATACCTGGTAATCTGAACAACTAATTTGAAGATAGCAGCATGTAATACAGTAACCATAGTTGACTTCCTGTTACTTTGTTTAGTGAAATCTTGTATTGTTTTAATCAGAGAACTTTATTATAACAGTAATGGTAAACTCTGTCTTCCCTGCTAGGGAGATCTTATTCCCCAGGGCACAGAGGGGAAAGACACTGCCCTCTGCCTGCCTTCTTGGTCGGCTACTGATAGACGTCACTGTCTGGGGTTTTGTTTAGAGTAGTTGCTTGTTTGAGAGGCCGCAAGACACATGTTCTCTGCCAGTGGTAGGGCTCAGTTATTACAGTGTTTTAGAGTGTGATCATAACAAGAGGTTTACACATGTGTAATTCAGAGGAAAGTTTTCTTTTGGGAGTAGTTTTGATCCAAGTTTGGTTCAGTCTGTGAGTATGGAATCTGTGGCTCTGAACAGATGATTGTACTTCACTTTGGCGTGGAGAGGGAGTATCGCTCAATGCAAAGCCCCTGGATGCAACCCCTTGTATTGACCCCTCACCAAATGCATTTTACAAATTTTGAGTGTCTAATGCCTTACAGAGAGCTGCTCAATAAATGCTTGTTTTCTAGGAAAGTGTTGGACACTCTTAATATAGTTAGAGTTATCCTAGATTCTGCATTTGGTAAACTCATGGTCTTTGATTTCTGTGAACCTTAATTTCATTAATGTATTCAGTATATATATTAGTAGTAAATGTATGATTCAGTATATTAAAACTATCAGTTTGCAGGATAACAGAAGATTTTAAAAAAAATGCTTTGCTGTCGCTGTCAGGGTACATAATTGTGAGAGGTTACTCTATAGAATGGTATCTGTTCTACTGTTCTGTTTTATAATACTTTATTTCCTGGTTATCATGGTAGGTCTTCTGGGGACCGGCTTCCAACTGTTTGGCTATGAAGAAAAACTTGAGTCCAATCCTTTACAGCACCTCTTTGAGGTAAGTTGTCAAGAAACAGTATCAGAAAATGCTTCTGGATTCTTCAAAGTACTGTGCAGCTTGCTGACTTATTTTTATTTTTTTTCCATAATTTTATTGAGAGACAAATAGCAATGAGACAGTTTCAAATCAAATTGGTAGGACAGTTCCAATAATTAACACATTGCATACTCTCTTCCTAGTGGTTATTTGCTGTACAAGATGCAGACATGATACCTTATTTACAGACACTATTAGAACAAATCCCTCTATTCATCAAGAGAATGTAATTATATATCTATCCTAACCATTTTGAATACATAGATACAAAATGGCCATTCATCTGTATCCCCTTTTTGGTTTAGTTTTGTCATTTGAATATTATAGGTGTGTTAACTCAGCAAAATATTCTAAAAGAGTCCAGTAGTCCATAATAGTATTGGGTCTTCTGCTTGACTGGCAATG